ACACACACACACACACACACACACACACACACACACACGCACACTTAAAGTCACTGGGATGAATCCTCTCACGCAGAGTTCGATAACGCAACCATGCAGGTGTTTTCCTTGTTGTTGTGCTCTTCTGTGGGTAAGGGGTTGTACTGTCGTCGATACAGCAGCCGTGTGACCAGCGTGATGATGAACATTTCCAGGATCAACAGCTGCTGACTCAGCACTATAGACACACACACAACAATAAGTCATCCAGGAGTCACACAGGATGTTCCAGTTAACTAGAAGTTAATATACTGACAAAAACTGTTTTTAGTTTGGCTAAGATTCCGCCACATATTGGTTTTTTATATTCTGTTCACAGTTTTTTCACAGTTTGTCAGTTTTGCAGCATTTAATTAAAATTGACTGCAACAGAATTAAAATAAAGCAAAACAAACCCAGAAAAAAACTGCTTTAAGTTTGTGTTTCTAGAAAAATAAGTTTGGAGGGCATGAGCAAAACAAGCTGCATCTTGAGTCTGTCCTGATAATTAGGGCCTTTTTATAAAAATGACCCGTTTGAAAAAAAAATAGTTTAATTTTGACCAAATGGAGAAAAGTAGGAAACTACGCCAACAGCAGCAGCCAGCTGTAGCACTTCCAGTGCAGCCTGGAGTAGGAGGTGTTCCAGGACAGCAGCAAGTTCAAACTAGCCATTAGCTCATCAAATCAGGCAGCATTAAACATTGTTTCTTCAAGTCAAAAAGTCATTCAAAGAGCTATCTACAGCAGGTAAGATATTATTTGTTCATAGCCTTTTTACACAAGATCTGAACTCTTCCTTTATGTTGAACTCAAACTTCCTCACAGGTGCTGATGTTGCAGAAAGAAGTGATTCAAACTAAATGTTATAATTTCACAATAAAGGTTTGAAAACTGACATTACAGCCAAACTAAAACCTTCAGCCACAAGTGGAAAATCTAAAACGTCAGTCCTCTGATCTAAAAGSTTCGGTGTAAACAGAAATTTAGCGCCGACGGTTATTTTAATGTAAAGTAAGCTTCCGACACAGGCTGGATCAGAGTCTGGACCACCAGGTGAACTCACTGTATCCTCTGGCCTGAGATGAGAACGGCGGAGAGCAGGCGATGATTCCGTTCATGGCCAGGATGTTGATGATGGCCGTCTGCAGCTGGCTCAGGATCAGCACCAGCTGCCCACGCAAACACACACCAACACACACAGACACACACACTGTGTCATTTACCTGTCGGCTCTAACAGAAAAAAAAAACACCTGCTGCTGTCCTACCTGGTACATGGCGTACTTRGGAACGATCTTTATTGTTTGTAAGGTGGTCTTCAGGTGCATGAAGAGGATTCCCACGGGCCACAGAGCGGTGATGGTCAAAACGCCCACAAACGGGTTGATCCAGATCGCTGCCCCGGTGATTTTCTTCTGAAATATTTTTGTGTTGAACGACAGGAAAAAGCAGTTAAGAGGTGCATGAAACAGTTTGTACACCAGGCCTCAGATGTTTAAGTGACAGCTTAACAGCTAAAAGCTAACATTAGCATGACGCTAACTCTTAGTAAAAAGTAGTATACTTTAAAGTTTAAGAGTATCAAGTATAGGCACCATGCACTTGTAGTGTACCAGAAATTATACTATTTTAATACTCGTTCGTACTAAATTGTGACATTTTTTGTTTATAAAAAGTATACTTTAAGTATACTGCTACAATGTTTACTTACCATAAAGAAGTATACTTTAAGTACGTCATTAAGTATACTGAAGTATATAAACGTCACGTGTATGTCCCCATGTGTCTTTTATTTACCATGTACACTGATATAAGTATACAAGCAGTTTAATTGCAAGTATACTTCTAGCACTAAATTGGCCCACAATAAGTTTATGAAAGTATACTCAGATGTATACTGAATGTAATCTAAGTATACTTTTAGTTTAATCTTGAAATATACTACAAATAAACTAGTCTAAGTAAAAAGGTACTTTCAGTGTACTTCTACAGTTTCTTGGCCAAAAGTTTAAACATTTTTATAGACTTAGTATACTTAAACTGTTAGTATACTTTTAGTAAAAGCCAAGTATAGTGTAAGATAAACTTGGTTAAGTGTATCTCAGATAAAAAGTAAACTGGAAGGATACTCTTTTTTGTTTAAAATTAGTATACTTAAAAGGATAAGACTCTTTGCTAAAGGAAATGGATAAGCCAAAAACCATGAAATTAAAGATAAATAGACATTTCCAGTGAGTTTTTTAAGACAGTTATGTTTGAAACATTCAAACAGTTAATATTCCCATTTTTAAGAATCATATTGCCTTTTACTTCTTGTCTGTTAAACTAAATTGTGAATTTATGGCACAGTAAGCTTTAAAATCCTCATTTACTCAGTGGTTTTCTTTAAAATAAATACATTTTCTTTATGTGAGGTAAATACAAATTAAACATTTGTATCATTAAAGAGGTCTCTTTCTCAAAGAGTTCCCCTTTGATGTCACTTCTTGTTTCACTTTGGCTGAGC